GGCCACAAGCCCAAGCAGCGGGGGAGGGAGGTCTGGGCAGGGCAGGCAGGAGGCTGACCGCTCTCGCCCTTCTCCACGACGTCCACCACGTCGCCCATGGCCAGAGCCATCTCGGTGCCCGAGCTCTTCTCGTAGTCAGCAATGGCCCGGTACGTCTGCAGGATGATGGGGCCGGTGATGTCTGGGCAGAGGGAGGACAGGGTGAGTGATGCTGTGGGGTGAGCTGCCCCTCCTGGCTCTCCCTGTGGTCCCCAGTGTCCTATCCCCACCCAGCTCCAGGCATCCACAGGTGGCTGCGCCCTCCCGGCGGGAAAGCAGCAGAGATGAGCTTTGCGGGCCTGCATTTAGTGAGCGCCTAGTGTGTTCCAGACACTGGTCACACTACACACGTTCCCTTTCTCATTTGATGAGGTTAGCAAGCCGTCCTCCTCAACGTTAACCGCACACAAATCGCCCAGAGATCGTGCTGAAATGAGTTTCTGACTCCATAGGTCTGTGGTGAGACCAGAGAGTGCATTTTCAACCAGTCCCAGGGGCTGCTTCTGCTGCTGCCGTTACCGGCTGAATTGTGCGCCCCCTCCCCAATTCATATAATGAAGCCCTAACCCCCAGTACTCTAGAATCAGAGTGTACAGTGGAGCCTTGACTTACGAGTTTAATTTGTTCTGAGACCGAGCTCGTTAAGGAGCTCGTTAACTCAAATTACTCTACCAACTCAATGCAAAAAAATCAGCCGAGAGACAGCTGGTATCTCAAAAAACTCGTTAGTCGGGACACTGGTAAGTCAAGGCCCCACTGTATTTGGAGATAGAGCCTTTAAGGTTAAATGAGGTCATCAAGGCGGGGCCCTGACCCAATAGGACTGGTGTCCTTATAAAAAGTGGAAGAGACGCCAGGGATGTATGTGCACAAAGGAAAGGCCATGTGAGGACACGGCAAGGAGGCAGCCGTCTGCAAGCCCAGGAGAGAGGCCTCAGCAGAAACCAACCCTCACACCTTGACCTCAGACGTCCAGGCTCCAGAACTGTGAGAAATAAATGCAAGCTGCCGGCCTGTGGTACTGTGATAGCAGCCAGAGCTGGACAGGATACTCTGTGTCACCCCTGAAGGCCACCTTTGCCCTCAACCCTGTTCATTCATTCAGCCACAACCTCCCCCAGCATCTGTGCTGGGCTCTGCAGCCGCGGAGGCCGGGGAGGTACCTTTATTTGCAAGGAGCTCCCTTCGCTATCCAGGGAACCCCAAAGATCCCAGAGTGTAGCCACCAACACCCTCCACAACTGCTCTCCCTGCTCTTTCCCTGTGCACCCTGAGCCCGGCTCCCTGATCATGTCAACGGTCCCCGTAGGGTGACCTGCCCTGGCTGCCCCCGGCCCCCTCACCGGCAGCGGCAGCGTTGGTCTTGCCATCTTTAGGCACCAGGTAGGTCTCCGGCTTTTTCACCCTGCAGCAGAGGAGGTCTGGGTTAGACTCGGCTTCCCCGGGGAATGGGGATGTGGGGAATGGGGCCGCTGCAGAGAGAAGGCCGCGACTGGACTGGCAAGGAAAGGGCATTGGGGTTACGGGGGTTGTTCCTCCAGCCTGAGGTGGAGACCCCAAGGAGAAGGCGCCAACTGTCAAAGACAGAAAGGCCTCCTTGCCCTACCCGGTTTGGCTCAGTGGATAGAGCGTTAGCCTGTGGACTCAAGGGTCCCAGGTTCGGTTCCGGTCAAGGGCATGTACCTTGGTTGCGGGCACATCCCCAGTAAGGGGGTGTGCAAGAGGCAGCTGATCAATATTTCTCTCTCATCGATGTTTCTAACTCTCTATCTCTCTCCCTTCCTCTCTGTAAAAAACCAATAAAATATATTTTTTTTGAAAGGGCTTCCTTCTCAGCTGCATAGCGAGACCCTGGCTCTGCTGTCAGC